AAGTGTCAAGTGAAGGACTAGGAGATCGAGTACACAAAGTTGTGTGTTGATCAAGTTCACCATAAGAGTAACAAAGATATTCGTCATGATTTACTAAAGGCTTAGTAAATATGATTACACTTACAAGATTAAGTGTAATTCTGAATTGATTAAAGGGTTTAGATCAATAGTAGAACGAATAAGAAGAATCAAGTAGGCAGAAAATAAAAGTTTCTCCATTCTAAGAAGAAGGGAGAGTAGCTTTTATGCTTTATGAAGGTCTTAATGATTAAGAACCATATCTCAATTGATCCTCTAAGTAAGTCTTAGTACAATTGTATGTTTAAGAAGAGGAATCAAGGATTGAAGAAATGGTTAAATCAAGAAGTCTATCATACTTCGTTCCAATAACAAGTCTTAAAGTTAAGATTGTGGCAATGAGTGAAAAGTATTAAAGGTTTATAACATTCATAAAATGTGGAAAGTTGTGATGTCTTGAATAAGACAAAGACCAACTTGGACCAATTTATGAAGTGTTTTGATAAAAGCTACACTAACTCTTGAATATTTGGTTGTCAACAAATGTTTATTGACAAGAGAATCTTATATGTCAAGGAGTCAGTGGGAGTCTTAATGGTCTTGAAAAGTTTCAAGAACAAATCAAATAAACCTTATCGATCATCACTAGCACACGAGTTGAGTTTTACAACCTATCGTGTTGACGATATTTTGATTCTGTGCTGTTCCAATTGAGTTAATTATGCATGTGAGTCCTATGAGTACTCATTTTGAACGCATAAAAGGCAAAGCACCTTGATCAATGAAAGGTACATTGATAGGAAAAGGGTGAGATGCTTAACTACTTGGAAGACGTGGTGGGCAGCTGTGCTACCATAAGGCAAGAAATCAAGATTAAAAAAAGGCTCGGTCCATATGAGTTTGAATTTGTCGTAAACTTTGGTTTTAACAAATTCACATGGATAGGAACAAATACACCATTTAAATCTAAGTGTCATAAGATTTCCTCCTTCATGAAAATGATTGTGAGGAAATGCTTTCACTAAGAAAGATTTTAAGAAGATAGTGATTGTAAAATTGCATTCTCGAATTCGATCATGGTTACGGTATCCCTTTCCATAATTTGAATTGTGAGGTTTGGCAATTAGTCTTAATTGTTGAGACACACATATGAACTATCTAAAGGCAAAGGTGTATAAGTTCAAGAAGCCTTGATAAAAGATTATCAAAGCACTAAGTATTAGAAACATGGACTTAAGAAATTCAATAGGTATTGTCTTTCTGAAAGTTAAGATGTTTATGAATACATGTCGAAGCTAGTGGGAGCATAAGTGTTATGTTTTATAGTAATCATCATGATAGTGGGAGCATAAAAGTTATGATTGTATGATTATTATAGAAAGTATTGCAAGTTGGCAATATTAATTATAGAAAAACAAGAGTTATACCTTGCAAAGTCGTAAGGGTTGTAAAGTTGTTTTGCTATAATTAAGGGAGAGAATATTATGCTTCATTTCAAATCTAAAGGATTAGGTTGAGAAATGTTGATAAATTTAGTCAAAGGTACATAGTGTGTTCTTAAAATTTCGATTATGATTACGGAATTCCTTTCACAATTCGAATTTTGAGAACATAGCAAATAAAACATTATGCGTCGTGTCCCATACGCTTCGGGTATAGGATCGATTGCAAATGCTTTAATGTTTGACCATTCTAAAATTTTCCAAATGTCTAGCGCATTTAGAGGGAAAAGGGACTAGAATTGGTTTTGACTAAAATAATTAAACAACTATCAAAGGACAATCCAAAGTTCGACGAGGATTGGTCGCTTGTGAGTAGTTGGAAGTATAGTATTGGAAAATATGGAAATGTTTCCATATTGGATGGACCATATCGACATCATTACAAATAGAAAAGATTCTATTAAGAATGAGTTGTCATGAGGAAAATATGGAAGCGTGTTCATATTAGGAAGAATATTGAAAATCTATGACTAGATTAGAAACTTTTATGCAAAAGGATGTTCAAAGGAATGTACTTTGAGTGAGAGACATCATATCTAAGGAATTGTCTTGTAACAATCTCATAGAGGACTTTGTAATATCATTGGCAATAGTCTTTGACTTTGGTGCAGTGACATTACGAAAGAATCATTGCATAGGATGTTAGAATCTAGCATATTCTATAAGTAGCAAGAATTTGATATTCTTTCACTTATGAAAATGGATTTGGAGTTGTGAAATGAGAATGATTGGAAATGTGTTCAATTTGTCTATTTCACAAAAGTAAGAACCATAGGTAAACATTGTGTGCATGCTAGGAGCATGGGACAAGTGTAATAATTCAAGTAAGAAGTTGATTACCCGAAACGACAAATAATGAGTAATCATATGGTGATAAATAAAAGGTTTTATTTATACTCAAAGGTTTGAGGCCATATGGGATTAGTATTATTCTTGTGTTTCACATTTGCATGTTTTGACTTCCAGAATAATTGAGTTTATTAAGAATAATCGAATTATTCAAACGGGCCACAGTCGTTCATATGTTGGAAGTAGATATGAATGAAGACTGTCGTGAATTGGTGTGTGGATTGTCTAAAAGAGTATTAGACATAAGCAAATGTTTGCTGCAACATTCATGAGTGCTTATGAATATGAATTTGAGCATTGGATTAAACCCACGCTCACTTGGATCACTCCATGAATTGTATCACGAGTGATTGGTGAGACGATAACATCTTATATTCTTGAAACCGAGATGTGTGAGTTGTATCTTGCTAATCGGTTGCACATTGATAATATGTAAACGCACTAGTAACTTGGTGTTATAAAACATATTGTTGTGTGTAAATTCGGTGGGTGAGTGCAAGCGAACATTGTATCAAAGTTTATCCGTTCCTTTTATCCAAAGAAGGATAAAAGCGATATCTTTGGGCCCCTCGATGGTTTAGTGATGACAAATGTAAATGCTCGGCCGGGCTAGGGCTAATTTGATTTGTTCAATTAGTCTGTCGTCATAAATCGAAAATCGAGAAGTAGTACAAAGAGAATGATTTGAAATCATATCTCATACGATATCTAGAATGGAGGAATATATGATCCCTTATCTAAGGACACGCGTATCTGATAGGATCAGAGTTGACAACAGCTTTGGAAAGCTACGATTGCAGATCAGGATCTAAAGTCATACGTATAATAGTTATTAGACTTATCCAAGTGGGAGACTGTTGGATTAGTGTCTAAGTCCATAACTATTTTGGTATGTACTTGACCCGATGGTGCATGGTCCTTTTGGGTTGCCTTCACCAAAGCAACTTGATTGGAGAAATAAATAAAGAGAGAGAGGTTATTATGATTTATTAATATGTTATAAGAATAATATATTAAAGGAGAAATCATATTTGCTTAATTAATATTGGTCAATAATTAATTAGGAATTAATTTTGTGATCAAGTGTAATTAATTAAACTAGAGGGGCTGAATTGTAATTATGTGATAGTTACAAAATATGGTAATGGTTATCCTAAATATGGGTTGAACGAATTCAAGGAGATAAGGATCCTTGAAATCGTCCAAAGGATAAAGGATAAGGGTTTTCAAGGCTTATCTTATGGTTGCTTTGTGGATAAGCAACTAGATAAGGATAATGACTGAAACCCTATCTCTACACCTATATAAAGACCCTAAGGCCTTAGAATTCGTGTACTTGTTCCCAAGGAGTCCTAAGGACGAATTCTAACTTCTCTCCTCTCTCTTTATACCTTCTCCATTTGCTCTTGGTGTTTGTAAGCCATTAGAGGAGTGACACTTGTGACTCTAAGCATTCCAAAGTCAATACAAGGAGATTTATGATTGTTATTGCTACATAACAATGAAGGTAACATTATAAACTTATTCTTATGTTAATATGATCACTTGTATGCTAGAATTAGGGTTTATAGTCTTGGATTCAAAGCATGTACAATAGAGAAACCTAGATCCAAACATTAGGGTTTGTATGAGCACATAGGATGTCTTATGACCAAAACCCATCACGAAATTGAGATGTTCCCCCGTATCAGATACATTGACAGTAAGTTCAGATCTACTAACAGTGGTTATTATAGTGGCAGTTTAATCTGTATAGAATGAGGTGGAGAGTGGAACATAAATCTGTGGAAGAGAAAACCCCATAGAAATCTTTAGTGGTAAAGGAGCAATAGTGATCGATATTGTAGTAGAGATCGGAGTCGTAGAAGTTATCAGAGAGTATGGAGGAGTATTCATCTAAAAGAATTCAAAGAAAAGGGTAGAAGAAGTAGGTGGTGTGGATACCTTCGAAATTGGTGTAGTTATCATAGGTTCCGAAGTGGTAGTTGTGCCATCAACATCATTCTGAACTGAATCCTCCTGAACATCAGTGTGAGTTCTAGATTCCAAATCCTCCTCAATAACTGTAGACGAAGATCATTGTTTGCGAGCATTCTTCTTGATCTTCTTCTTTGGAGTTTTGACAACCTCAGAATGACCATTTTTTCCCTTTTTCTTTGCACCCCTCTTTAGTTTGTTGGCCTCATTAACCGCCTTTCGCATGTCATCTGGCATAGTTTGATCACCATAAGTAGGCTACTTGCGATACTCATGTACTATCACATTGTCCTGAGCCACCTTTGCTAGCATTAACTCCAGAATCGAACACACAAATGCGAACTTGGTTAGATCAGACATCATAAATGTCGACGTCTGAAGGATCAGAATAGCAGCAACAACAAAATCATACGAGATTAGAACTTTGAAGTGAACTAGGGCTCCTCTAACAACGGTCGAACAAAAACGTTCACAGGAGATCTCAGTGTTGTGAATTGAAGAAGAAGTACTTTATATGAGTTGTGTCTAGAGGATAGAGCCATTGTCCAGATTTATATCATGGTAGAGGCCATAGATAATGGTATAAAAGAGCTTAGTTGTAGTGATTGAGTCTGCTGGGCATTCCGAAAAGCTCTTAAATGTGAATAGTCTGTTTCACATTGGAGGAAGATTAGGTTTCCTGAAATTGGACAACAACGAGATATCACCAATATAACCCATATGGTAAAACATGTTGATGAGATCAATGGATGAATCCGAATCTGGATCCACAAGGACTTCAGATAACTCAATCCCTAACATTCTACATAAATAGGCTTTATTGATAGAGGTCATGTTAGTAGCAACCTTGAAGGTTATGACTCCATCAACCTTAATGTATGTTGCAGATGAGTAAGCCTTGGAAAGATGAACCAGAGGAATCGATTCTACCATTATCAAAGCCTGTGCAAGTGGAGAATACCTCAGACATTCAACCATCGGCCTCAAAGGTTCATTGTATCGAGATGAGTCAAGATCAAGAATGTGATTTTGACAAGGCTTCAAGTTCAGCATAATGAAGGATGTTGATTGATCAGCAGATGAGGTGGTTTCAGATGATCCAGCCATGGTAGCAATCGAAGAAGATGATGAACAGTAAGTAGAGAGAGAAAAGGGTTATTTCCTTGAGAGTTTTTTTGCGTTGTGAGAGAAAATCAATCATCGAAAATCCTTTTAATAAAGTGCATGTTGTAAACAATAAGAAACTAAAATAAATTTGATTTTGAAGTAACTTTTGGTTAATGGATTTAAAAGCAAGTTGGTATTCAGGTCATTATTAATAAAAAAAATATGTAGAATATGTGATTTAACTAGCCATACATCTATATTTATTATGCATGATATTTAAATTTATTACTCGTGTACTACACAAGCTTTAACCTGGTATGGAATAATATTGAACTTTCATCTAGTATCCATCCACCACATCGAAATGAAGGGTTTTCGAAGGTTCCCTCATACACTCTTTCTTTGAATCTGTGTTATACAATTCTATAATTCAATTAAACCATTCTACAAATACTCTACGCCATTATCGAATCATCAAAGTGATTCATCCATTCAAATAAGAAAACTTTGAAGAGTGGTTCAACATTCGGTCATTAATTTTGTGAAATGATTTGTTGTAAAGGTACCTTTGCAATGTTTATATTGTACATATATATTTACTTCAAATCTCATTTATTAATTGGAAGCAACATTAATGAACATGATATTGTGTTATTTAAATGTATATTTTATAGATTTAACACCATGAATAATACCAATAGAACGTTGATGCACAAAAGAAAAGATAATTGTGGTTGTGTATTGTTTGTTTTCATACAAGGAGTGACAAAATTCATATACTTTCCTGCTAGTCAAGAAAGTTTCATGCACAAAGATAGAATCAAATGCCCATGCATCAAATTTCGTAACATAACATATAAACACTCTAATACTATTAAACATTATTTATACAAGTCAGGTTTTGTTTCGAAATATTTTGTCACAACCCAAAACCGAGAACGGCGGAAACGTTCTGGGGCGGAGAACGTCATGTACTGTATCACAACAATGTAAAGTAGTAAACAAGCAACAACATCATCCATTGCATTAATAGTATAATTTTAAATACATGTGTGTTATTTCATAGAATAAAACAACATAATGAATAATCAAAATAAAAGACGATTCTTGACTGCTCCGTCTTCACAAAACCTAGTCGCTGTACCTGTCTATTTGTGACCTAAGAATACAAGTTATTTTGAAACCGAGTATCAACAATAAAGCTGGTGAATTCATAAGTATTAATGTGTCTTTGATTTGTAAAACTGTAAAGAAAGACTTGCAAATGTTTGAAGAAAAGTTTGTATAAGTATGAAAATGTTTGTAAGTAATTGTAAACGTTTGAAACTCTAGAAAATCCCATATTTCCTACTAGTATAAAAAATAGTCTTCTACCAAGACTCGACTATTTTGAAAGTAGCCTTCTACCAAGACCCGACTGTTTTGAAAGTTTGAACCTCTACTTAAATGAAGGTTTTCCCTTGTACAACTATTATTATTCAAATCTAATATACCTCATCGATTGTGTGAATATGACACATAGTTAAGGTAATAATAATATATTAACTGGAATTTTATCCTTTTGTAATTGTCGTATGTAAAGTGTAAGTATTGTAGTATTTGTAATAAGTGACTATTATTGTACTAATTGCCTTAATTGAGGGGTAATGCATAATGTGATGGCAAAATCCCATACTAAATGCTCCCTTGTCAAGAGATTTTGGGAACCAAACGCGACCCCTACAATGATTGCAAGCCGTGAACATCCACATTATTATGATCATGTATACCCAATATAACTATCACCTTTTGTTTAAAACAATGCGTTAGTGATTCATTGGTATAGTTAGATCCTGTAATTGTTCCATGTTATAGCACCTTATTATGTTTGTTCTATTATCGTGTATTGTATCTTCCTCCTTGTTTCTCTTTATTGTGTGTTCTCTTATGTTATCGTATATTGTAATTATATTTCTCTAATTGTATCTCTTCATATAGTATATATTGTAATAGTATAGAATCATGAAAGAACTGACTCTTGTGTGATTCCTTGTACTTGGAATAGTAAGTAATATCTCCTAACTATACCTATTATAGTTACTAGTAATGTATGTGTATAACCGAAAGTATGCCTTTGCTACCTAAAGGTACTGAACTGGATGATGGAACTTTTATGTCTACATATGTATACATGATATATAACTAATATTTAGACGACATTCGGACGAGTAACCGATGCCCTAAGGCCGCATCCCAATGAGGAAAAGGAAATAAAGCGAGCTAGTTGTCCTAAGTCCGTTAAACATTACTTATATAACTATACATATCTAGGAATGCATTTGACAATATAAAAGTATAAAAGAAGTTTTGTAAAACTTTTGAAAAGTTTAATAACTAAGAAATGATGACTTGATGTTAGTTCATAAAACGATTTGAAAGTAGTTTGTTTGATAAGACAGATTTATATATAAGGAAAACCTTTGTTTGAAACACATTTGTAACAGAGTTTGAAAGGAAACATATAGTATGAAAGACAATTTGATAAAGAGTTTTAACATGTAAAAACAGTTGAGAAAGTCATTTGAATAAATAAGTTTGCTAAAACAGCTAAACGTATAGTAAATCCATTTGTATGCTAGTTATTAATCACATGTGATTGATATAATAACTAGCATGATTCAACTTGTATCCCCCCATAAAGCATTTAAAACATTTAAAAGGTTAATTAAGGGGTATGAACTCACCTATAGTGAGTAGTTTATACGAAAGTTCGGACATGGTGCTAGGTGTCAAGTGAGGACTTGAACACAAACAATGGTCCTACTTAATCATATAATAAACATATATGTATCTAATTAGTCAACTAACAACTAATTAATCAATTTAAGACACCCTAGGACATGGAAACACTTTGATTCAAGTGCTATAGTTACCAAATGGTTGCATCTAAGGGTTGTATGGCATGGCATTGGAGTTTATGGCCCATGAACCACTCCTTATGGAGTTTACAGCCCATGACCATTTCCCCATGAGTTTATTGCTGTAAAATCATGGTAATAAGTGCCATTTTGTGTTTTGAGGTCTTATAAGTCATGATTGCACATCCAATGATCAAGTCCAAGCCTTAGGAAGGCATTAAGGGTACATTAAGGCTACTTTGTAGAGTTTACGGCCTAAGGACCACTTCCTTAGGTGTTTATTGCCATAAACTCTTATGGAGACATGTTTTGATTATTTTTTAAGGTCTTAAACACTTCTAGGAAGGATCAAGATTGGCATCCAAGGCTTAGGAAGGGACTAGGGTCCATTTAACCACCTTAAGAGGGGTTTACGACCCAAGAACATCCTTGGCCATAAAATCCTTTGTTCTTATGATCTTTGATGATTTTCAAGTGTTATCAAGGTCATATGAAGCACAAAAGAAGCTAGGGTAAGTGTACTTACAAGATAGAAGCTTGATTTGGTGTTTAAGGTCCAAGAACACTAGTGTGTGTTCTTGGTGTTCTTGGTGTTTTGAAGAACACTTGAAGATCTAGTTAAAACGCAAGAATGAATGGATGAAATGATGAATAACTACTAGATGTTAGGTTATAACAATAAATCAAGTCGAGAAACACGTACGTTTTCAGGAAATCGGGTGAAGAACGAGATGATAGTTGAGAGAGAATAGAGAGTGTTCTTGAGGGTGGAAGTGAGAAATGAGGAGTTTGGGGAGTAAACTCATGCCTAAGGTATGAGTTCACGGCCACACAAGAGTTTACGGCCCAAACTCTAAAAGTTTGGCCGTGAACTCTTTACTAAGCTGTATTTGGTGGGTTTGCTACTTCAAGACCCGAGACGGTACTTCTTTTCCTTTGTTCATTTGAAGAATAAACACTAAAAACACTAAAACGGACTTTTAAATTGGCTAACAATTATTAGAAATGTAATTGAATTTTAATTGAAGTGATTGGCTTTAGAGTTTGTACGAATGAAAATTTCGAGTTGTCACATATTTTTTTTGGGATAAACATGGCGAAACATCCATTGATTATGACAATACGTATTTAGTGGAGGATGATTCAAACACAGATTTGAATGAAGGTGAATGTGCTTATAGAGAATTGGTTATAGTTGCAATAGCTCCTGATTTTAATAGTAGTAATCCTGAGGAGGAGCCAAATGCACTAGATAAAAATTTTGATATGCTATAGGCAGCCGATAAAGAGTTGTGGTCTGGATGTCAAAAAGTCACAGGACTATCTATTGTAGCTAGACTATTGAATATTTAATCAGAGTATCGCATACCTGAAAAAATTTATGATGCTATCTACCAATTGATAAATGATGTGTTACTGGAGGAGAATAATATGATAGGTAGTTTATACGAGAGCAAAAAGTTAATACATGCACTAGATTTTCCTGTGGAGATGATTGACTGTTGCAGGTCTTGATGTATGATATATTGGAGGGGAGACAAAGATCTTTATCGGTGCAAATTATGTAATGCACATAATTACAAGCGGTAAAAATATTTGGCCAGATGTTCTCACGTATCCTTTAAGAGAATGCATTACTTTCCTTTATCTCCAAGGTTAAAAAGACTGGATACTTCACAAGCCACAGTCGCTTCCATGTGATGGAACTCTAAGGATCATAGATGTGATGCTTGAGTAATGTGTCATCAGATTCTTAATAGTTCAAATTATGAGAACATGGCAAATTATAATATATTGTAGCAAAAGACTAGTCAAGTATCATGTCATTATGTGAGACATCATGAATCGTGTCCTGTATGCTTCGGATATAGGATCGATTGCACGTGCTATAATATTTATCTGTTCTGAATTTTCCAAATGCCTAGGGTATTAAGAGGGAAAAAGGAAGAGAACCGGATATGAATGAAATGATTAAGCAATTGTCAAGGACAATATGAGGTTTACCTATGATTGGTTCCTCATGTACAGTTGGAAGTATGGTGTAAAATTTTTGAGAGGGACCATATTGACATATTATGAAAAGAGGCGACTCTTGTTTAGAAG